ATACACAAAAAGGAAAAAATTGTGGGCAGGAGATTATCAGGAGTCATAACCAAAAATAGATAATTAATTTCCAAATGTGGTAATTTGGTTGATAAACTTTAGCACCAAGATTTTTTTCTATTTTATTAATAACCTCTCCTAATTTTTTTCTAAAAGAAGGAATAAGTCTTAAAAAATCTGTGTCTCAAATTTGGTGGAGATTGGTGAGCAAAATTAAGGCTTGTGGCTAATTTTATTAATAGAATTTCGACATTGATCACCAGAAAATTTCGGAAAATACACTTCCCAATCATTTAATGTGACAAATCATTCAACTAATAATGAATAAAACGAATAAATTCGAGTTGTATTAGTATTAGTATTATTATTTGAATAAGAATTGTATTACGAATAAATACTTAGTCATAAGTCCCACCCAAGTCCATCCAAAGAAAAAAGTAAAGATTGATACTCTCTAGAACAGCAGGAAACTCTAGCGGTAGCAGCATTATCCACTTTTATTCCATCATTATAAATATGTTAATATATAATTATGGTTTTGGTATTTGTGTTTGCTTCAAATAGATTGTACAAATACACCACCAAAAAAAATTACCAAGGAGAAAAGCATGAAATAAAATTAATGGAGAAGATTGACTAGAAGACCCAGAAGACCCATTTAAAGGATACATAGATGACAGATGAGAAGGCCAGGAATTTTAACAAGAATGGCTAAAGCCAAGCTCGAGTTTGATGTTACATAATTTTTAAAGTAACGAATGATTAATTCTGATATTTTTATTTTATTTATGAGCATTATCTAAAAAACAATTAAGAGTTATTTTCTTGAATTCAACTTGAACATGAAAATTCAAGTTTTAATTCAAATCTGCTCGACTTAGAGAATAAAGCAAATAAAAACAAATGATTTGAATAAACGAATAAAACAAATGGTTCAAATAATGAAATAATTCAAATAAAATGGATAAAAAACAAAAAAACAAACGAACAAACGAATAGAATGAATAAATAAACTGAATAAAACGAATAATTTGAATAAGAATTCGTATTATGAATAGGAACTCTAGCTCAATTCAATAATAAATAAGGATTTTTTAAACAGTTTGCATTTCGTTTTAATTCCCTACAAATATTTGAGCAAACATTGCATTGTAATTAAATATAAATTTTTAAAAACATAAAACTCATTGAAGTATGATTAGTAATTGAATTTTAAATGTAATTTTCTTATGTTTGGCTATATGCAATATATTCAGGACCTAAAGGTATTTTTTATTAGAAACAGAATCATGATTTTATTTCGAGTTGGCTGGAGCTCGGCTCGGGCCAGCACTTTTTTATATGTGAGCTGGCTCAGCTCATCCGGAGCTTTAATTCCATATATATAATTAATTAATTGACAACTTTTCTTCCAAAAAAAATTTAATTACCAATGATTTTTCATAAGAATCATTTGATGGTAATAAAGATTTTTGAGTAAGATTGGATCGGTCCTAAAAAGACTGATTAAGGACCGGTCTTTGAACTGGTCTTCTCAATCCTTGGTCCCAAATTTTGAGACTGAAAAGACTGGTCCTTAAAAAAAGGAAATAGTGTATGTCTTTAATATAGTTATGATCTCTTTTTTTCAATACATACATGTTCTTCCTTTATCAAATTAAACAGTATAATATCATAACCAAATTTTCTTCCAATTCATCTCTCTGGCTACATGATGATCCATAATATGAATAAAGCATTGTTTTTTCTTGATCTAAAGACTTATTCAATTATACTAAATCATTAAATCATGTTCATTCATTCATTTTAATAATTAATTTACCATTTTTCTTAAAAAAAATCCAAACTGAAGAAATTGAAATTATGCTATTTGATATTAAATGTGATTAAAAAAGGAAATACATCATTATTAGATTGGTAAATATAAAAGATTTATAGTAGAATTTGATATAGAATTGGAAATAGATGTTGATGCTGATGCATTTATGTTTGCAGAAGAAAAATTATTATTAATATCATTATCACCATTACCATTACCAATGATATTATTGTTATTATTAGTTTCAATTAATTCAGCAATTGTTAAACTTTCCATTTTAGGATATGTTACTTCCTCATCTAATTCATCTTGAGCCCAAACCAACATTTTTAATAAATTTGGTAAATTTGGATCTTTTTGTTGGCTTTGTGAAGTTAAAATTGCAGCATTCAGCTCACTGGCTGTATGTAAACGTTGTGATGTATGGAACAAATATCCTACAGGAGATGTGGATGTATTATCAAATGCTAATAATGCCATTGATCTCTCAAGTTCTTCAAGAAATTCAGTCTTGAATTTTTGGTACACACATATATATAAATTAGTTAAATGCAATGTGTATTTATATTTATACAGATATATACATGCATGAATATTTATTTATTTATTTAAAGTGTAACTTACATTTTCTTCTCCAAGTGGTGCTAATTCATCCTGTGCACATTCTAGAGCTTCGGTTATTCTTCCTTGTCTAATATATTCTATTAATCTTTGTTGTTGAAGATGAAAGCATAATTTTGGATTTGTATCTAATATCTAGAAGAAAAATAAATATAATAATTATTATTG